GGCTATAATTTGGCAATTTAATTTAACAAAATGTTAACCCAAATAACTATGTACAAATAATCATGTGGAATCAAATCATCGTTATGATTTGACAGACGCATATAAAGCTGCACAAAGCCTCGTGCTGAACTGTGCAAATCATTTCAGAATGTGCTGCTATGTATTTTATAGTATGACGTGATCTTTCCAACTTCCAGTATAATTATAATCATAACGTTACATTCCATTGATAATTTATTTCACCAGGAATCCATTATAATAATCCTGCTACCTCCAGTAGGAGCAGTACATGCAGGTCATGTGTGAATACAGTGTGCAGAGATCCAATGTGGTCGACCCATGAGGTGATGCAATAACATGCCGCCTTCACATTTTGAAGGGTTAAGAGCAACCATCATTATTTTTGAAATACAGATTTGGCTTTGTACAGAAGGTGAGCCTCACACAGATCAATATGTCAGTACTAATAGGATGCAACGTGCTTTACATCACTTTGATAGCCCCCCATGCTGCCGCTAACCTTGATTCAAGTGTCTTTGGCTCACTGCTATCTCTTTGAGTTGACCCGCTAAGAGCCGTGGTGGAGATGGCTGCTTTGATGCCTTTATGCTGCATCTGCTGCTTCCCTGACTCGCCTCCAGCTATACAATACACTTACACAAGACTGTCAGAAGAAATGGTGGAGAGGAACAAGCCAAGCAGCAGGGAGGGTGTAGTGTGTGTCAGGGAGCACGCAGGGTACACACATGTGTTTGTGTGTGCGTGTTGTGACGTTCTGTTGTTTTCTGGAAGTCGGCGATGTTCGGATGCGAGTCAGAGGCCACGCACAGCATATCCTTGTACATCCCCCCCCCCCCCTTCTCCCCCCCTGATGCATTTCCCCTGTCAATGCTACACATGTAGTTCAAAGGTTACAATCAATAATTTGTACTCTCCACCCCTCTCAAAGAGATATGGCTCAACCCACGGTAACGGCTGCTGCTAAGGACCATGGGTGATGGGATGCGGTCTATTTTTCAGGCATGTTCCTGAAAACATGTTCATGTTTCCTCTCCGTACTCTGGAATCATGAGTGTTATAGCTCCGAGGATATTATCCTATGGTCCCAGGCTGGAAGAAAAAAAAGACGGACCGAGAGGTCCACCAAATGGATATTGCTGCCCGTACTTGCATAGCAAGTTAGCCAAAATTGTAGAGGAACAGATAGACATGCTCTGGTATTTATTTGTGCTGCAGTGATCTGGCTGGGCCATATCAGTGTGACCTTTAAAGGTTACTCCTGTTTTCATTACATCATTGTCACATCTGGTTTAGATGTTGTAATTACTACAAATAAGGGACACTGTTTCCCGTGTTAGAGAAAATTGGGAAGCTCTATCTCATCAATTTCACCAAATAATTATGTCTCAAACACAATATTTCCACCTCTTCCCTTCTCCTTCCCTGGTATCACTCTGCAAGCATTGTTCTAAATGAGTTTCAGTTGAGGTCAGAGGCTGAAGCTGGTAAACAGTAGAGAGTTGCATTGCCAGGCACCAGCTTTGGTCCCTGTTTACTCCCTGTCTGCTTATGTCATTCACATGCACCGCAACAGGGAATAAACTGGCACCGCTTTGTTTACATTAATAACTGTGAAATGGTCATTGTCATAGTGAGCATTTAGCTCAAAGCTCTGCAGTCTTGCACAGCTGCCACTGTTGCTGTAGTTTGTTTTTCATCCGTTTTTCTCTCAATGCATGTGCCAGTGTAAAGTGTGCCTTTCTCTGTCATGGCAGTGAGCTAGACGTCATTATGTTTTCTACACATGAATTACAAGTGATTTGCAGCAGCATTAATTCAGCAAAACGATGTGAATTAAGGTCTTGATTGTTGAGGATAGCAGCTGCGATGTAAAAATAGTACGTGAACAGAAATCAACAGTCGGTGCACCCCGCGTATCATTATCTTCATCAATAGATTAAGTAATTGCAAGATGAAAGAGCCTTACACCGGAGATTTCTCAACCGTGATGGAGTCAAAAGCCCAGTTGCAGCTTCCAGTGCAGTAGGTCACAGTGAGTACAGAGAGTTCTCTCCCTGGGATTGTTTGTTTGTTCGTTACTTATCCCGCCCACTCAAGCTTCTAATTATGATATTGCATTTTATTTTCTGTTCCTTACCCCAGTAGATTTGTTTAACAGCTTGTGCTTAATCGCCCCGATATTTCTGTCTGGCTTCAAGAGAGACACTTTCACACAAGGCCACTTGGAAACACACACACACAGCGAGATGCACAGCAATCAGGTGAGGATTTACAAAGGCGGGACAAGTTCCAGCAGACTATTCTGTAATGTTAAAGAGTTACTGAGCCTTTATCACATTTACTGTTAGTTTCTTTTTCTTGCATTTTGCAAAATACTTTTTCTGTTGCGATTTGAAATGAGCCCATGGATATTTCCCCTCTCAGTGATGTAAATGAGTATTACTGTGCACGAGGACACATCTAGTGTTGGATCTGTCCGTGTCCTGTCTCCACTCAGCTTGTCACAGCTGGCTCAACACACTAGACTGCAGCACACACGTGGCTTAGCTTACACACTCTGTCCGCCAGAGTTTATTGTCGGAGAATTCCGCTGGGAAAAGTGTGTGTACTCTGGAATGCACATTGCTAAAGGAAATGCCTCACAGGCACTTGAAAGGCCAGTGCCAGTAATGTTAACTGGGATAAACGGCAGGGCTACTGGGATGTACTGACACTCCCTCACAGACTCACACCAGAGAGCCGCTAGCCCAGCTACACTACAGAAACACCCTCACTGTGACTCTCTCAAAGAGCGATAAATGTGCTTCTGGTGGCTGTCACCAGACTGCCGGGCTTTCCAGCCGAGAAATGAAGAGTGTAAAGGTAGTTGGACACGGATGTTACCTGTGAGACCCACCGTGTCCCACTCCACAAGGCCACAAAGCCACAAAGCCCACTGTCATTGCTCCTCCAACTCCTCTGTTGCATTTGTTTAGTCTCTGTGGCTCAGTGTCTTATGCATACTTTATATTTAAAGTAGTGCTGGGCAACGATTAAAATATTTAATCGCGATTAATCGCATTGTTATAGCAAAGTTCAACAATGAATTCAAAAGTAGTGTATTGCGCACTTTTATTTTAAAAGTACTGCTATATGAACAAAAGAGCAATAACATTTGGTTTAAACACTTTAAACACATCAGGTTGTTGTTAGCAGCAGTATTCCCTTTACACAGTAGCAGTTCTATCTCTTCACTATCTGTGCTCAGTGTGTGACTGTGTGTGAAACGTCCACTGCTGTGCAACAGGAATAAAATGTTTGAGCACGTTTCAGCAAAAATGTCTGTCTTCATGACAGTCAGAGCATGTGAATGCAGCTCTACTGTTCATCAATATAATGCTGTAACTCAGAGGTAATTATGGTTACACAGCGATCAAAGAATAAAGACACTTTACGCACAATTTAGGTGTATTTTCCCTTTAACTCACGAGATGCAGCATGTTTTATACTTAATGTGAATATAATTCATACTTTATCTTATTCTGAAATTTGTTATTCTGAAAACCGGATGTCCGTTTGAAGAAACCGGATGTTGTCTCACATTAATCTTTCCGCTAAGTTTCTTAGCTCATTCTTGAGGCTCATACGTGCCGTCATTCGTTGCGATCCTAAAGGTGCGTTCACACCAAACGCGACGCGAATATTAGTCGGCTGCAGTTTGTATCCACTTCTTTGTGGCTTTTGTTAGCTTGTTTTGCTTTTGTTTATCGAACTATACTTCTCCCACACGCTGCATCAACGTAGTCTGCTGAAGACTTCCTCCACTGCTGGCCTGCCAGTGAGCAACGGACTTTCAAAATAAAACAAAATAAAAAAATGCGTTAACGCCGATAAAATAATTGTCGGCGTTAATTAATGAATGAGTTCACGCGAAATTAACGTGTTAACTTGCCCAGCACTAATTTAAAGTGAAAAAAGAGATGACTGTCAGTTTTCTAAAGAAAAGTAACTGCCTCTACATGTATGCCTATGTCCCTACATATAAATGAATATAAGCGTAGACCTCTGCATATGTCTCTTCCATCATAACGGAGAGAGACGGCCTGTCCACTGTTCAGAAAAGAAACCAACGGGCAATCTGCTCATAAGTGATCTTATGTTGAAGGGCTTGTTTTGGTTCATTGTCTCTGTCATGACATTGGATCTTTTAGCGGTCCTGGGTAGAGCTGTTTGCTTGTGGAAGGATGCTGTTGAGTTGTAATCCATGTTGGGATTTAACAACTGTCTGCGCTCTTTTTCTGGCTGCCAGCAGGTACCTTTACTTATTTTTTTGGTGATTCACTCTGTGATTTTCATGTGTTTATCCTCCTATCAAACTCCCCCGCTCTCTTTTATTCTGGTAATATTTCGGACGTGTTGTCGTCCGGGGGTGCACATGTAAAAGATTTGACTAGCAGCAGTCTAGCTCCTACCCCACTCCAAGCCATCCTGTTTTTGGACTTTTGCCTCACAGCTCCCAACCCGCCCCCCTACACAGCCGGTCCCTAGTTTCTCCTGTCTGTGAGCAATTAATCTTTGTTTATTTCTGCTTCCTGCTTTCATCTCATCCGTGCTTTGACCAACCGATGCTGGAACAGCCGGGTCTGTGGGCCGCTTCCCTCGCAGAACAAGAGAGCAGAGGGTGAATGCGTGCGAAGGCGTTTAGGTAGTGTGGAGGTGAACTGAAACATCATGGAGCTGGCATTGACTCATGCATCTGAAAGTCATTGGAACATGGAATCATTTCCTCTCCTCTTTCTCTTGTGTATTTCTCTCTGGAGCTTATTGTTTCCCCTCCTCAACCAGAGCCCTGTCCAAATCGCCCGCTGACTTGTGTTTGGAAATGAGTTCCAAATGAAGTCCTGGCTCGGGACTCAGACAGACGGTGTGTGTGTGTGTGTGTGTGTGTGTGTGTGTGTGTGTGTGTGTGTG